AGAAATCCCCCCAAATTTGCAAACTAAAAAGCACACTGATAAATAACACACAAGAAAAAATCAAAAGGGAAATTAGAAAGTAATAGGAAGTGAATGATCATAAAAACATGACAAGTTAAATGTGAAATGCCACTAAAGCAGTACTTAGAATTTAATAGCACCAAACACGTATATTAAGGAAAAAAAAGTCTCAAATCAATATCTTCAGTTTCTACCCTTTGAAAAATAAAAAGCAAATTAAACCCAAATTATATAGAAGAAAGGACATTTAAAGATGAGAGCAGAAATCAATAGTTCATCACTTGACAAACTAATAAAGATAAAACACATGATCATCTCGATAGACACAAAAGCATTTGAGAAAACCCCACATCCATTCCTCATAAAAACTCTCGTTAAACTAAGAGTAGAAGGAACTTCCTCCACCTGATCAAGAGAATCTATGGAAAACCTAGCTCACAAAACACTTACTGGGAAAGACTGAAAGCTTTCACCCTAAGACAAAGAATAAGACAAAGATGTCTCTGTTAGCACTTCTACTCACAATGTACTGGAAGTTCTAGTCAATGCGATAAGGCAAGAAAAAGAAATAAAAGGCATCCAGAATGGAAATGAAGAAGTCTCTATTCACAGATACTATGATCTAAGATCAGTATTCAAAAATCAATTCTAGGGCTGCCCCCTGGCCGAGTGGTTAAGTTTGCGCACTCCACTCTGGCGGCCCAGGGTTTCACTGGTTCAATCCTGGGCGCGGACATGGCACTTCTTGTCAGGCCATGCTGAGGTGGCATCCCACATGCCACAACTAGAAGGACCCACAACAAAAATATACAGCTATGTACTGGGGGATTTTGAGGAGAAAAAGGAAAAATAAAATCCTTAAAAAAAAAAATCAATTCTATTTTTATATACTAGCAACAAACAAATGAATATTAAATTATTAAAAATACCATTTATAATAGCATCAAAACTATGAAATACTTAGGGATAAATATGACAACAGATGTGCAAGACATGTACAAAACACTACCGAAAGAAATTCTTAAAATCTTCATAAACGGGGAGATATATTGTGTTTTTCTTAAAAATTGTTAAGATGCCAGTTCTCCTATATTGAACTAAAGATTTAATTTAATTCTTATCAGAACCCCAGAGGGTTGTTTTGTAGAAATTGATAAGCTGATAAAAAATTCATAGGAGAATACAAGGACTTGGAAGACCCAAAACAAATTTCAAAAAGAAAAAAGTTAGAGAGCTAATATCTGATTTTAAGACTTAATAAAAAGCTATACTAATCAAGATTGTGGTAATGGCATCAAGATAAACAAACAGATCAAAGGAATATAGAGGCCAGAAAGAGACATACACACACCTGATTACTGACAAAGGTACAAAGGGAATTTGGGGAGAAAAGATCATCTTTTCAACAAACGGTGCTGGAATCACTGGACAGCCATATGCATAAAAAACAAATTTTGATGCATACTTGCATCTAGAAAAATTAACTCAAAAGATTTTCTCTTATGTTTTCTCATAGAATTTTTATAGTTATAGGTTTTACATTAGATCTAGAAGGAAAGAGAAGAAAATCTGTAACCTTGGGTTAGGCAAAGATATCTTAGCTATGACATCAACCGCGTAGTCCAGGAACACATGAAAAAAAACTGATAAAATGGATTTCATCAAAATTAAAAACTGCTTTTCAGAAGACACAGTTGGGGGGGGGGAAGACAAGCCACAAAGAGAAGATATTTATAAATCATATATCTGGACTTGTACCTAGAAAATATTAAGAACTCTCAAAACTCAATAAGAAAATAAGTAATCCAAAGAACAAAATGGGCAAAATACGTGCACATTTCACCAACGAGTTATACAGATGGCAAACAAGCACATGGAAAGCTACTCAACGTCACTCACTAGGGAAACGCAAAGTAAAACCACAGGGAGACACCACTGTACACCTACCAAAATGACAAAAGTAAAAAGGACTGACCACACCAAGTGCTGGCATGGCTATGGAGCAATGGGACTTCCCATACACTGCTACTGGGAATGTACAATCTTAGAACCACTTTGAAAAACAGTTTGGTAGTTTCTTAAAAAGCTAAATATACGCCTACCATGTGTTCCAGCCATGCTACTCTTAGGTATTTACTCAAGAGGAAAACAAAAGCAGACGAATGTTCATAGCAGCTTTACTTGTGCTAACCAAAAACCGGAAACAATCCAAGTATCCATCAAGAGGTGAATGGATAAAGAAAATGTGGCATATCCATACAACAGAGTAAGTCTCATGAAAAAAGGAGCAATTGAGACATGCAACAATATTGAATGAGTCTCAAAATATCTAAGTGAAAAAAGACAAAAATGGATATACTCCATAATCCCATAGCTGTAAAACTCTACTAAATGCAAATTAGTCTGTAGTGACACGAATGAGATCAGTTGTTGCCCCAGGGAGAAAAGGGCTGGGAGAATGGGAAAAGGCAACCGTTGGGTATGAAGAATATGTTCATTATCCTGATGGTGGTGATGTGTATAAATGACAAAATTTATCGAATCTTACATGCTGAATATGTGCAGATTCCTGTATACCAATTACAACTCAAAAAAGCTGTTAGAAAGTGTTAAAACAAACTACAAGGGCCTACCTAAAGTGTATTTTACTGGGATCTTATACAGGCAGAATATTCTGCTATATGTTTTTCTTTATCATAGGATTTTACTAAGTTGGAAAGCACGCTTTAAACTTTTTTAAGGTAATTATGATTCCCCAAAGGAATGAAATTCATTTTCCTTAGGCGTGGTTCACTGCAGCAACGTCTCACCACAGCAGAGACACTGAATCTCATTACTAGCCAAGACCTCCCCCGGGGGAAAGTGAATAGGGCATTAATAAACATTAAAACAAAGTTTACTCATCACGCAGTCAGGAAACTCAAAGCTAAGAGACCCATGAGGGGGAAGAGGTAATGAATTTGCAGAAAATAATGATATTCAGTCTGTGACTGCAAAACTGCCTCCTGAAATGTCGGTTTTACAATTCTAATCCTTGACCGGGGATGGACTACGGACCCACCACGCTCCTAAACTCTGCGTTCCTTCTCGGGTCTGGACGCACTTTCTCAGCAGAGCTCAAAGGCCTCCTCCTCCTCCTCCCATGCGGCCTGACTTGCCCACTGCCTCCGCCATGGTCAACACTGATTCCTTCCTTGCCCTGGTTTTCATCAGTCCGTCACTGCCACTTGCTTCCCTCTTTCACAGCCTCTTTCAGATACTCATCTTTCATCATTCTCCCTATGGACTCTTCTTTCTCAGTTCTTTTTTTTTTTTTTTAATTTCATCTACTTTTCAAAACTTCTACCTTTGTGGAAAATCTAAAATAAAAGTGAGCAGCCTTTTTTAAGCCTAAGTGCCTCTTGGGAAGAGGATGCACCCCAGGGGTTGCCAAGTGGGAAGTTGCCCTGGTGATCGAATTACAACAGCTGCTCAGGTGGAGGGAAGGACTCTATTCCCCAGGTCAAAGCCAGCCATCGTCACTCTACCCCAACGGACTAGGTCTCCCCGCTGCAGCTTTTTATCTGAATGTAACCCACACAACTATTAGGCTTCAGCCACCTGCTGTGCTTAGAACCAGACCTCTTCATCAAAATGTAGGTTCTGGTATTGTTGGCAGATGCCTGTTCCATGTTCTCCATGCTCAAAGGAGCCCCTCGTTCCCCCTCTTAGCCACCAGGAAAAGGTGTGAAGTACTGATACCTGCTATGACGTGGATAAGCCTTAAAATCAGTACGGTAAGTGAACGGAGGCAGACACAAAAGGCCCCATACTGTATGCCTCCATTTATATGAAAAGTCCAGGACAGACAAATCCATCGGCACAGAAAGTAGATTAGTGGTCACCAGGGGCTGGGGGAGGGAGGAATGTCAAGGGACTCCTGACATGTACGAGTTTCTTTTCGGGATGACAAAGATACTCTAGAATTAGACGGTGGTTACGGTTGTACAACCCTGTGAATATACTAAAAACCACTGAACCGTAGGTTTTTTTTAAAATGGTGAATTTTATGTTATGCAAATTACATCTCAACTAAAAAAATATACCTAAAGAACTGAAACTGTAGAAAGGCAGAAACAAAGACAGCAAGGATGTCACTTGCTTAGTATAAAGTATTTTAGGGCCACTTTGGATAAAATTAAGTCCCTACAGGCTAAATGAACCACTAAATTCAAACGGTAAATTATTTCCCTCTTTTCTCTGCAGAAGAATCAAAAAGTAAGGATTTCCTTTAAGAGTTTTCCAATTCTTAGATCAATTATAATAAATACATCAGGATGCCTAAGTGTTCATTTGCCATACAGTTTCCTTCCTCTTGGACTCTGAAGTCTATCTGGGACAACCTAATGCAATAGCAAAGGAAAAAATCATTTCAATTAGGCTATTAGACAAGGCAGTGACATTCGATGCATTTAATGTATTTCCCAGACACTATCTCAAATGCTTTCCATTTCCCAATCAACAACACTGCTCTGTTCTAATAGATCTGGCCATCAGATGTAATTGGCCTTCAATTACATTTCATTCTAAATTAATCTTCATAAGTGAACCAAACCAAAGGAAAGAAAATGCTGTTTGTGAAAGCAGAGATACTAATATGCCGGGCCTCTTAAAGACAACTCAGGGAGAAACCCAGAGCCAGTGTTGACCATGTGAGTAATTCCTAAGTGCAGGGATTTTATGGGAAATCACCTTTCATGGGCAAGTTTATTCCACTCTCAGAGAGCCTGAAGGAAGTGATGCCACCAGCATCTGCACCTACACGAGGACAGCACTCTCCTCCCCAGTGATGCGTGACTGCAGAACACAGGAGTTTACACCAAATAAAAGTATTTGGCACAGATCCTAATAGGACAGCACTTCATCCCTGAAGAAATTAACGTATATTCACTTTTTGAGGCTCGCTCCTAGTCTGCATACACTGCCTAGGTCTGTTTTTCCTACGTGCTGGGAAATACAGTAATTCCTTCATAAGGCGGTCAAGCTGCCTGTTCAGTCTTATTCAGCCCCCAGTGCTCCCTTTGGCCCTGCCTCCTGCAGGTGGGAAACACAACTGTGGCTCTCTTAACGATTTCACACTCCTGTGATTCCCTGTAATTTCGTAACACACCCGAATCACCATCCAGGGCCCCAAAGTAGCAATTTAAGAATTTCTGCTGGCCTGAAAATGAATGCAACCATCAAAGTTTCCAATTTAAACTCAGGAATTAACTTGTTTACTGCCCAAGATCTTCCCTCCCTATACAATTAGTCTGATACACCGGTTTAACCCTGCCTGGTACTGAAGGATCAAATTAAAGCCAACTTATAAATAGAAAAGTCATAAAATGCAGATGTCCACATGAGGCAATAAATAACTGAGATGTCCAAGACTCCATTCAGTGCAGGAGAAAAGCGGTGAAGAGAAGGGGGTGTGTGTGTGTGAGAGAGAATATACCACACATTTTACTAATATACTAAGAGTTTTAAAAATCACACAGCAAAATGTTTTCCAGTACTTTCAGCAGCACTGGAAAACATCCCAGCTTACTTTCTAGCCACATCAGCAGTTCAGTCCCATGGATTTTCCTGGAAATCTGATGCGGTTCTTTGTTTAAATACATGAAGGCATCACATTCACATATTGAGCACCTACTACATATAAGGCAAAGAAGCAGTGCGTTCTCAGTCTCAGGCATGCGTTCCACAGACGCAAAGAACCAGCACCCCCGTTGACCCAGCTCGCTGTCAAGTTCTTCATGAGCAACTGGATGCTAAAGATTTGAATTGTTACAAAAGCTGCAATGGTCCAAACCCTTCTTCTCCACTCTCCCCCAGCTCAGTTACCTACTGCCAACCCGCATCACCTCTGCCTTGAACACGAGTTCCCTTGCCCAGTTTTACTCACCAGACAGCTATCAAAAGGCCCAAATGCACACGCCAGTAGGATAAGCACTCGCAGCCTCTCGAAGGCGGTGGGTATGGGCTACAGCCGAACTGTGGGATGTGTCTGTCTCCCGTTCTGCTGGTTTTATATACATACAGTAGGAAAAGAAATACATCACCTTAACTTCTTTCAAGAAAAGACAAGAGAGGAAGCACACTCTTGTTCCGGATGTTCCACGTTCAGACCCATCCAAACCACAGTGAATACATTTCCTAAAACATCTGTATCACAATCTCAGCAGACGGCTGAAAACGTAGCAGGTGATCAATAATTCATTGCTAAATTCTGGACTTAGCAGGCTTGCCCTATTTCTTAAACAAGCTGGTTTTTTAGGGCCATCTTTGTAAATCTAGAATGTAAGAATCTACTAAATGTGCTAGCACAGAGCTTTAAAAAAAAAAAGCCCTATACTCATGATTTTTCAGATTTCAGTGATTCCATCTTTGTCAAGTAGAACTTTCTACCATGATGCAAATGGTCTTTATCTAGGTTCTTCAGTAGGGACTATCCACATGTGCCTACTGAGCATTTGAAACACAGAGCAATTGAGGAATTGAATTTTTAATTTGTTTAATTTTAATTAACTTAAATTTAAACTGCCACATGTGACTAATGGTCACCGTACTAACTCAGATTTAGACAGACAGGTCTGGTCCCTGAAACAGGGGAATGAGCATCATGGAAACAGATCTGGACCCAAATCCCAGCTCTGCCACTTTTGACCTACTGATCTTCAGCAAGCTATCTAACCCCTCTCATAGTTCCCCACGTGTGAAATAGCATGTTAGTGGGAGAAGTGTCGTGAAATTAAGTATGGTGAAGTAAAAGCAAAGCCCCTTTTCAGTCCATGTCAGTGTCCCCGCTGTCAGGGGTTAGAAGGTAAGAACACATCTCCCCCTAGTTTATGCTCCTGCAGAGAAAACAACACGACCAAAGCCTGAAACAATAAACACTAAATTGTAAATGGCAGTTTGTTTCTGGAAGTGGGGTTAAAAATTTCCATCTCTGTTTTATACACTTCAATACTCCTTGGAACTTTTTTTCTTATATAACAAATTTTACTTTGATCAAAATAATGACTTTTAAAGTGCTGCTTCAAGGTTTTGGCTTTTTCTTCTGTTATTCCCAAAGCAGGAATGATGGCAAGGCAGACCCAATAAATGCTGGTTCACAGCCCTTGAGCAGGTGAAAGGGACAGGACGGTGGAACTGGTCGCCAGTCTCCAAGCCTCTGGGGCCTGGCACTTCAGTGCCAGCACCACGAGCACCCTGAGCTCCCAAGGCTCCTCAATGCAAGGCAGTAAATTAGATGAAGCGGGGTAACGTCAGTGCCTGCAATGCTTGGGGGTTGCTCCTTCATTCCAGTGAAGGAGATGAGCCTGCCTGCAGTCACATGCCCAATTATCATCACGTAATCTTCTTTTACAAATAGATCTGTGATAGGCAAAAGTAAATGACACCCTCACACACTAAACTGGACATTTCTGGAAAGTAATACAACAAAATATGTACTCAAAACATATTTACTACCTTTTGACCCAGTAATTACACTTGTAGGAATTTGCCACAGGGGAAAGAATCAGATAATTAAGCAAAGATGTCTATAGAGGAATGAATGCTCAACATTTTAGATAGCAAAGAGTGGGAACATTCTAAATATTTAGTCATAGAGAACTGGCAAGACTAATTATCATAGATTGATATCATGAAATGCTATGCAACCCATAAAAATGATGCAGATTAATTCTGATGTGAAAAGATGTTCAAAATGTTACAAAATAACATGTGGAATAACATTTGCTAAAACAACCTATGTAATTTTTATATACTTGTGTGTTTTTATGCATAGGAAAAATGTATAGAAGGACACAAACCAAAAGGTTTTCAAGTGTTTTCCACGGAAGGTAGGAATTCAGGTGGTTGGTCTACTTACTGGTGATCTGCCACATTCTACATTTTTAAGTTATTTAATACATGCACAGCATTAAATAATAAGAAAGAAGAAAGAATAAATACCAGGCTGCTACTGGTGTCAGTTTTACAGGTGAATTCTGCCAAACCTTCAAGGACCAGATAATTCCTACACGATTTAAATTCTATCACAGCACAGGGGAAAAAAAAGAAAAAATGTTTTAATTCATTTCAATCAGGCTATCACAACAAACAAAAAATACTAAAGAAAATCTAACTTATGACTACAGACATAAAATCATAAGAAAAAACAGCAAATTTAATTCAGTATTATTAGAATAAGAGGGATTATTCTAGTAATTCAAGAATACTTTAATATTAGCATTTATAGAGAAATAAGTTATCACATTAAGTCAAAGTTGCACAATCAAATAATTCTCTCTCTATATATGTATTGATCCTATTCTTGATTTTAAAACAAAATAACCCTAGTTAACCAGGAACAGAAGTAACTGTCTCTAATGCAATAAAAAAAAGTCTTTCTCAAACTCCGACAGTAAAACACTAAAGGTATTCCCATTAAATTCAGAGCCAAAATAAGGATGCCTACTATGGGGACTGTCACTGACCACTGCACTGGAAGTTCTAGGCAAAAGACTAAGATTGAAAGTGAAAGAAGCAAATACTAAAAAGGAGACAAAATTATTATTCAGGAATGCTATAATTAATAATTTTCTTTAAAAAAGACAAGAGAAACAACTGAAAGACTATTACAGAATTAAGAAAGTTAAGAAATATTCCACCATATTTATTGAGAATGGACCACAGCAAATCCTGAGGGAGGTGCCAGGGTTATAACAGTGAATAAAAAGAGAGGCCCAGGGCACATTTTAGAGTCTGACAGAACAAAATAAAAATATAAGCTCCTCATACTCCTTTTTTTCCTGTGTTCATGAACAGAACAAACACAGGCCACATCAGTTCCCATTTTCAGGTAATTCAGTAAATGGGCTTCGTAAGCCCACTTATAAATGTACAAAAATCAACAGCTTTTCTATAATCAGAAAACACCACTTACAAGATATAATTTAAGAACAGTCTATTCACTACAGCCACCAAAAACAAAATATAAAATATCTTGAAATAAATTTAACAGGAAACATGTAGAACCAATATAAATAAAAGTACAAGACTTCATTTACGGAGGTAAAAAAACTAAAGAGAAGGCGATTAAAAAAAAAAGGAGACATATATGTTCCTGGATTGTAAAAGTGTAAATTTTCCCCAAATTAGTCTATATACTTAGTGCAATCACATTCGAAATACCAATGGGATTCTTTTTAAGAAGGTAACAAAACGATTCTAAATTTCATTTGAAGAATACATGTGTGAGCATGGCCAAAAATTTTTCTTTAAGGAAGAGGAAAACAGGAACTGAACTGCTCCGAAGAAGTCCTGACATCCTCCACGCGTTCTCAGACTCCGCGGGCCGCGGGCCTGGCTCTGCTGCAAAATGGCACGCTCCGACCCGCACACAGCTCTGCAGGATGGCGTGTGCCATTATGTGCAGCCAGCGTCCGGCTTTCTCTCTACACAGGCCCTCATGGCAGAGCAACTCCCCCAGAAAGGAGGCCTCAGAAGCCAGCTGTGTGTGAAGCCACCAACGTGTGTGTGAGGAAGAAGACGTGTGTCGGCACAAAGCATTCACGAGGAAGGGTTCAAAATCACACTGAGACTCAAATCAATTCTTTGCTGGAAAAGAGGAGGAACCCAGGGAATGCATTTCTGGGTCTTCATGCTCAATATTAAAGATTTCCAGGAAACACAAAAACTGAGCAATCAATGGAAGTCTTTATTGGGGTATTATAAAAATAATAAGGTAAAATTTAATTTTCTCATATGATGAATACTGTCTATTTGGATTCCTATGAAAACCTGAAGCCATATCACTAATATTTAGTAGTTACATTTACACCTCCTTTAATTTTTAATAGCATTTTAGAATATAACTCATTCACCCACCCATTTCCCACCCTTTACCTCCCCCAAATGTTTTCCAAGTGGGTGAAAATTCAGTACGCATCAAGAGTGAGAGGTCAGGCCAGTTGTACACAAGCAGATAAGACACTGTAAGACACTGAGAACTCGCCATCCGTCACAAAGCAAGTGAGCTGCAGCTGAGGCTGGGCTGAGCTTTCAACTTCTGGGTCCGAAACAGGGACCCTCCCAGTGCCCCCTTCTGTCTGCTAATGAGGTCCAGAGTGCTGCAAAGTTATCAGCTTCTATGCCCATGTGCACAGTCAGCTGTAGTCTCTTCTGAAACTACAGGCTGCATGCCCAAGCCTGACCAGAGGCAGTCATTAAAATTTTAATACTGATTGATCCAAGAGGAACCATTGATAGTAACTAACACATGCTGTGCTTACAACTTGCCGGACACTGTTCTAAGGACTTCAAAGGCACTTACTCATGTACTCTTTACAGCATGTCCTACGAAGTAGACGCTAGTACAATCATACCCCAATTTACAGATGACAAAACTGAGGCAAAGAAAGGCCACCTAGCTTCCCAAAGGCCACAGGGGCCGCTAATGGAGGAGCTCAGGGGTTCTGCTCCAGGGCCTGCACCACACATGCTAACACAGATCTCCACCTCTCTGTACACCCTAAGGCCCTCTCTGTAATGACAAAATACGCACGGGATGGCCCAACCTAAATTACCCAAGAGAAGGTTTAATTAACACATTGTAAAGCATGGCTGTTCTTCCACTCTCTCCTAGAATGATCTTCCTCTGCTCTCAGCCCACTGTGGCACGCCCTCTCTATAGCTTACAGCCTGGCTGGGATGGCCCTTGGTGCTCCCCATCTTGTACAGCTCATGCATATTTATCTTTTTAACCAAAATACGAGTTTCCTGAGAGCAGGGGCCATCCCACAGAATCTTGCAAAACACTTTGTACACAGATACTTAACACATTTTTGGTGACCAGGAATTAAGTGAAATAAATTTTCTTAGTGCGGCAAACAAACAAAAATACTATTCCTGTAAGTAAAGCTTGAACAGCCACATTTAATCATTTTGACAAGTTGCCACTGCTAACAGTTTCTCTAATTCATCACATTTGTGGAAGTGCTTGCTGGGTACCAAGAACTGCAATGAGTGCTTTATTTGAACTAAACCAGTTAAGCCACATAATTGTCTTGTGAGAGTGATCCCATTATATAATCATTCCCATTTGATAGACGAGGAAACTGAGGTTTAAAAAATAAAGCAACTTACCCAAGGTTCCACCTCTAGTAACAGATGGTGCCGGGATTCAAACCTGAGCCCTCTGCTTCCTAACTACCTGTCTGCCTAACTATCGCATTCCCTACCTCCACTTCTCTCCCCACCAGCTTAAGTTAGAACACTAGAAGATTCTTACCTGCAGCTGAGCCCTCCTCACGATCTCATTTCCCAAACTACACTTTAGTGTAAATGTCATCAGTATTCTCATGAAGAGCAATAGAATAGTCAATATTCAATATACAGCAATAGCAACAGTCCTATAAAACTCACACTGCCATGAGGGTCTTGCCTCGCCTATGATTCAGTATGTTCCTCTGAAGACCCTTCTGAAAGCATCCTCTGATCCTGCCATCAGGAAGAGCCATCCCTCTGTTAAATGGTTTGTTTTAAGAGCACTACAAATTGTATATCTGATAAGACTTCTGTGTTAAGCAAGTTTCTAGAAAGGTCAGTGCCCAACTTGAGGCCCACTGAAATGTGCATATACATGTACATAATTTCATTCTGGTTCCACTGATTATCCTATAATTGTTTTGACTTTTTCACCTAACTCCTAATTTATATTTTCTTATATATAATGAGAGCATCTTTAACACGCTTTGGGACAAGAAGGAATACAGGTTAAGTGCCCAGATGCTGAGCTCGTTTTCGAGGATCAAGGCGGAAGAACATTTGGGAGACAGGAGTTAGAGTCCTGACCAGAGGAAAAAACTGGCGGCTCATGGACTTTATCCACCAACAGGCTTGTTTTTAAAGTCTAGACAGTAGTTGTAAGAACCTTTTAATTAGCTGGCAGCACTTAAAATCCAAGGAATTTCACATTCTGTGCTTTTCTTGAAAAACTGGAAGCTCTGACAACCCTAAACCTGTTCTCCATACATGGCACCATTTGAAGCTGAACAACGGTGTCAACAAGCATGAGATTTTTGTGAGCCAGAGTCCCCACCGGGTGGCACGGTTCATTAAAACCGCCCGCCCCAAGTGCCCTGGCACTTGACTTTGCAGCCCTGGACTAAATCAACAGCAAACCGATTCCTGATAGCCAAATCTGCAACTACCATTAGGCAGGACTTCCCAGATGCTGGAAGAGTACCCCACTTTATCTCCTTTATCTCAAAAATAGGATTATTTAGAAATTTGGCTGGAGAGAGGCAAAAAGGGACACAGCGAATAAAGGCATCTACTTACACAACCTCCTCCCAGAGTGCATCCTTGAGCTGTCGGCATTAACTCCCTAAGAGGTTCCTTCCCCAGCCCTTTCCTGGACTCCATTCCCCACCTAAACCCCCTCACTGAACTACTGCCCCCAGGACCACAGAGACTAAGACTAAGAGCAAAGATGGCACAATCAAATCTCGGTTCTCCCAGGGCTCTTACCCCACCAAGACGCCCTTCCTCGACTGCCCACCTGGAGGCGCCATGAACACAACAGTCCAAGCTTCTCAGGGTCAAAACAAAAGCAAGTCCCTTCTTGAAAAACAACTTCTGAGGCCATTGTTCAACACACAGGCATTTGGAGTGTTCATGCAGAAAAGTCAAGATTTCCCCTTGCAGGAAGTTCCTGGAAGGAAGTCGGTGGCCTGAAGCTCAGCCACTCCTCAAACCAGAGAAAACAAAGGCAAGACAAGCATCTATTCTCCAGAGCGGCTACAGCATCCTAGAATAGGAAGCAGGACCCTGAGGCAGCAGCAGGGAAAGCGAGCTCCTGTGTTGGGCTTTCCAGACAGGCTCTAGTCACGGCAGCATTTCACTCTGCACGTTTAGGGCAGGGTGGTAGGTTTTCTGCCCCATTTTGATCAGGATCCAACCATGAAACCAGCTGAAGATGTGAATGAGACCATGGGTCTAAGTCATTTCTCACCCTACACCGACTTGCCATTGTCCTCATTCTTTGAAACTAGAGCCCTCCGCCACTGGCAATAGCAGTCCCTGGTAGCCTGGTCACAGCAGCAGTGTAATAGTGCACACGAAAAGTTATTCTTGACACTGCATGTCCACAGTTGTTGAAATTCTTCTTTTTTCTTAAATTACTTTAAAAGTAATGCATGTGCAGTTAAATTTTTCCAAACAGAACCAAATGCCTAATAAAGTAAGTAACTGTCTCTGGGTCCATATTCCCATTTCCACTCGCCTCTATGATGATTGTCTTTACAGTCCTTCTGTGGTTATCAGCTTAACTAACAGGCTTCTATCTCCTCTTGATTTGCCAACCTCAAACAGAACCTATTGCCTGCCTGCCTCCCTCATATCTAACTCATTCACACTTCCTTCGCCTCTGATTCTTTCCTAGTTTTCCTGATTATGCTCTTTAGTTCTCCAATTGGTTAGTTCTGTTTCTTGTTTCAACCGCATGATACAGAATTTCCTGACATCCCACCATGTCAGAGAAGGAAATTAGCATCCCCACGGATCCCTCTATCGCCTCTTCTCCTCCTGCCATCTGGCCACCGACTCTGTCAGCTCTTCCACTCTTCGCCCTGCCAGGTTGTTAAGCCTTGATTTTTTTTCTGTAGTTTTAACTACCTCTTCCTTGTCTTGTGCAGTGATTAACCAATAAACTATTTATCTACCTTTACAATATTATGATTACGCAAATATGACTTCTGCAGAACCAACAGCAGCATTCAACTCCAGGAGAAGGAAATATAATCCTATGTCAGTGAATCTGGCTGCACCTCAGGGTCAAATGGGTTTTCTTTTCTTACACTCCATTAAATGCTCAAAACTATAACCAGGCTTTCATTTGCTTTAATTTTCACATTTTTTAAAGACATATGAAGTGACTATTTGACTTTACACCAGTCCTAGTCAATATCTGTATCCATGTGTTTCATTTTTTTTTAATCACAACTACATTCATATGACCTCAATACTATCTGGTGTTCATCCCTAAGAGAGAAGTGTCCATGCCCGCGAAAGCCCAAGGGAACAGTTATTGAGCTAAACAATTAAGACAATAAAAAGGACCCCTGAGACCCACATACTCCAAGGTGGATTCCCAAGGAGGGAGCTGACACCAGTGAAGAAATGACTCACTTAGCATGGCGACTTTTTCCTTTTTTTCCTATGTGCTGGTGAGCTATGTGATTTAGCTTCTTGGCTATCTGATTTTTCTTATTGTTTAGACAAACAATAAAAAACAAGCATAGTCTCAAACTACGTACTTGGCAATGTTACAAAACAGAAATGGGCCATAACACCTAGCAAAGAGAAAAGTGCTTGTTCCAGGCAAAGTTACAGGAGAAGCAATGTTGCACAGTAGAAAGAGCCATGGTTTGGGGGGAAGACAAAGCTGAGGTTAAATCCTGGGTAAACTACTTTCCTTGCCGCCCTCGAGAGAGTTACTGAAGCTCCCTGAACTCTGATTCCAAATCTGTAAACAGGCCTAACACCAACTCTTTTGCAGGGGTCCTGTGAATACAAAATAAGATGATGTGTATAACGTAACCAGCATAGTCCCTGGTGCCTACTAGCACTAGATCTTACATGTCCAGGTTCAAGAGTCTCTCAAGCTAGCTATAATAAATGAAGACCAGGCATCAAGCTGTATCTATTCTGGTCCTAGGAAGGAATAGGAGAGTGGGGTATTGGGCAGGCACTATTAAGAATCTAGTTATAAAACTGAAGGATATGTACAAAACAAAGCCAAGACATACAATGCTTAACAAAAATTTGGTCAAGGATAACATTACTATAAAATTCTTTCATAATTAGACTCTGGAAGATTTTGTGTTTTTTTTTTGGTTGAAGAAGACTGACCCTGAGCTAACATCTGTGCCGATATTCCTCCATCTTGCATGTAGGACACCGCCACAGCACTGCTTGGTGAGCGGTGTGTAGGTCTGTGCTGGGGACCTGAATCTGCGAACCCCGGCTGGCTGAAGCTGGGTGCGCAATCTTAACCACTACACCTACGTCACTGGGCTAGCCCCTGGAAGATTTTTTTTTTTTTTAAAGCTCCTTCTCTGATTATAATTCTGAACTAGACTTTAGTATATTACGATGTTTTGACAAGCAACATACATCTTACCATGGACAATTAAGTACTCCAAAAGACACCCCTTTACTAAATAAAAAAAATTCAGGGCCGGCCTGGTGGCACAGCACTTAAGTGCGCACATTCAGCTTCGGCGGCCTGGGGTTCGCTGGTTCAAATCCCGGGTGCGGACATGGCACCGCTCGGCAAGCCATGCTGTGGTAGACGTCCCACATATGGGGTAGAGGAAGATGAGCATGGATGTTAGCTCAGGGCCTGTCTTCCTCAGCAAGAAGAGGAGGATTGGCAGCAGATGTTAGCTCAGGGCTAATCTTCCTCAAAAAAAAGAAAAAAAAATCCATAATTCACAATTTATCCAAATGTATGGTTTTAAAAAACGGTTTAAAGAAAGGCTTTGGGGGCCAGTCCCGTGGCCAAGCGGTTAAGTTCGCACACTCCACTTTGGCAGCCCAGGGTTTTGCCTGTTCAGATCCCAGGTGAGGACATGGCACTGCTCATCAGGCCATGCTGAGGCGGCGTCCCACATACCACAACTAGGACCCACAACTAGAATATACAACTATGCACTGGGGGGATTTGGGGAGGGAAAAAAAAAAGCTTTGCATGAATCACTCTATAAGTTGATTACAAAATTATGAATTCTAGCATTCTGGACGATGAATACTCCCACAGATTTTACATATGTAAGAATCATGTACAGAGACACAGTGTCACTAAAACTTCTTCCCCCAAACGGTGGCAATATTTCAAGCTCCACCTCCCACAGATACGTATATAGATTTTACTCTCTGAAATCTGAACAGCCTCTTCTTTAATTTGCTCGCTTCTGCTTAATCCATGTTATATCAGTGATGTAAACTTAAAATGATTTCTAGCCAAAATCACATTACTAGACTCCTACATGCCCACAAAAATAGCTTCCGTTTGAAAGTGAATGGTGAGGTGTTAGGATCTAGACCACCATCTAAATGCATGAATTTTCCAGATTTATTTAATTATATTAGTATGAAATATTATTACCAAGCCTTTTCTTTCATTATTTCATTGGTCTTCCACTGTTTCTCCATAAGGTTAATGTTAAACCTGCTTTGTATTTCTACTCACCGCCAATATTCTGCCATGTAACAGTATTTCCTTTAATCAGTCAAGACAGAAGAAAAATGGTGGATACTCAAAATTCTCTCTTTTAATCATCAAAAAAAAGAGAGGGGACATACAACTCAGTAGCAAAAAAACAAACAATCCTACTAAAACATGGGCAGAGGACCTAAATAGACATTTTTCGAAAGAAGACATACAGATGGCCAACAAGTACACAAAAAGATGCAAAACATCAGTAATCATCAGGGAAATACAGACCAAAATCATAATGAGATAGGCCCTCACATCTGTCACAATGGCAGGTGTCTATTACCAAAAAGACAAGAAGTAATAAGTGTCGGTGAGGATGTGGAGAAAAGGGACCCGTTGTGCACTGTTGCTGGGAATGCAAATTGGTACAGCCACTACGGAAAACAGTGTGGAGGGTCCTCAAAAAATTAAAAATTATCCAGTAATTCTACTTCTGGGTATTTATCTGAAGAAAATAAAAACACTAACTCAAAAAGATATATGTACCTCCATGTTCATTACAGCATTATTTATAATCACCAAGATAGGGAAATAACCTAAGAATCTATCGATGAACAAATAGACAAAGAAAATGTGGTGTGTATATATATTTATAAAGAAATATTCAGTCATAAAAAAAGAATGAAATCTTGCCATTTGCAACAACATAGATGGACCTTGAGGGCATTACGCTAAGTGAAATACGTCAGAGAAAGACAAACACCATATGATCTCACTTACACGTGGAATCCAAAAAAAAAAACAAAACACACACAAAAAACCAAGCTCACAGATATAGAGAACAGACTGGTGGCTGCCAGAGGTGGGGGCTCGGGGTGGGCAAAACGGGTGAAAGAGTCAAAAGGTACAAACTTCCAGTTACAGAATAAATAAGCCCTGGGGATATAATGGACAGCATGGAGACTATAGTTAATAATACTGTATTGCTTATTTGAAAGTTGCTAAGAGAGTAGATCTTAAAGTTCTCATCACCAGAAAAAAGAAAATTCTGTAACTTTGTGTGAGGACAGATGTCAGACTTACTGTGATCATTTTGCAATATATACAAATATCAAATCATTATGTTGTACACCTGAAACTAATATAACGTTGTTGTCAATTACACCTTAATTTAAAAAAAAAAACAAGGAAAGGGAGGGAAGAGATCAGTCCTTTTGTTCATGAAGGTGATACTTGCAACTAGTTCAGAAATTCACTTTGACATGTACCTTCTGAGCACTTCCTCTCTAGGAGGCAAGTGACAAAATCCTATTCTACAGGAAGGCACAGCCAGAAGCCTTGGTGGCAGGAGGTGGGACGGCTACTGTACCCCAGGGCAAGTTAGAGGGAGGTAGGTGTAAAGGTAGAGGCATAAAAATAACATTTACTGGGACTCAAGTAAATTCACAGTTGGTTGTCTGCTCGCAGGCTATATGTTCTGTTTTGCAGCCAACTCAAAGCCCAGTGGGCTGAAGTGGTTTTAAAATACTCTTCCCTTTTGTCAACCGTATCTTAAATCTCCTTTCTCTCATATTTCATGGTTATTTCTCGCATCCTGATCTCAAGAAAAGCTGTTAGGCACTTCTCAATAACTTACTAACCAGGTATTCATCGCTGCTCCAGAACCCTTTTTCCCATAGCACAGAAACCACAAAGATGCTGGATTGTTACTCTGCTGCTCAAGTTTACCTTGATTATAATTCCACATCACTTCCATATGGCTAGTTAACTGCCTAACCATCCATAAGAGTGATTACAAATTATGGAATTAGAAACCTAACAATTACCTGACTGGATAGGTTTGAGGAGGGTGTTATGCTTCTGTGTTTAACCTTCTGAGGCAGGGAAGTCTCTTGATATTTGATTCAGGTTCCTACCTGGAGGCTGGGCCATATCTAAACCATCCCAGGCCAAGGACTCGCAAACCTACTGTTCACTCTTGGCACAGAAAGATTACACAGCCTCTGCAAAATGTGACCACAGCCACTGGTAGCATTTCATACACACTCATCATGTTTGTCTACGTGCTTAGGAAAAGTCTTCTCTACAGAACATTTTTAGCAAAGCAGTATCACTATTCTCAGAAAGAGTTTTATAAAAAGGAAATGATTCTGGTCTTGGGAAGGAGGTGTGGGCTCCAATTTCACTTCTGACACACACTGTTTAAAAGAAATAGGGAACCATTTGACTGCTGACGTGGGGAAAAGGAAAAAAAGAGTGAACCCTTTTAGCTAAATGGGCAGGTTAAAGACCAGTCAATTATGGGAATGGCATTATGGGCTCCTGAAACTTCACAGCAATTTTTCACGTGGATACTTTACACCTTTTCAAGAGGCTGGCAGAATCTAAGAGAGAGACATATATGACACAGGGAGGGGAAGATGACAGCCACGCCTTTCAATTATTATAAAGACAAACAGCCTTTTCAGCGAAGTAACATGAGCTTACTGAAAAGCTTTTGCGAAGGTATTGACAGCACCTTAATGTTTCAAGGGAACAAAAATGCCATCAAATATTCATTGCACAGTAGTGAAAATGCATTCCCATTAATGAATCCTCTACCTAGATCCAACGTTTGATTCTGTATTCAAACAAACAAAAGCCACAACCAATACAAATGTTAGGAAGATAAACGTTTTTAGAAGAATGATAAAGAAAATACATAACTGAGTCTCTAATTGGCCTACATAATGTACCAATGCTTGAATTCTTCAAATACTTACACCACCCAGCACTCCGCTGTACCGACGTAGGAAAAAAACGAAGAAACTGTACAAACACTTCCTACATAGAAATAGGAGTTATGTTTTTAACTTAGCGCTAGTTCCACGTAACAGCATGAACTCACGTACGGTACTAAGATTTATGGAGGATATATTCACGGAGTGCTGAACATCAACATCATACTTTCACAGAAAGTAACTATATCATTTTTTGAAGGTTCTTATGTAAGAGGGCCAATCTATTAGTAGCCAGTTCGTGCTGCTAAAAATCTGTAAGAGAATATGTGGCTGTGCCTCCGTTTATTCCTTTCAGAATCCTTCTCTGGGTAGCCTCAGGGTACCTCGACAAGCTTTCAGTTCTCTGCCTGCTGGGAGACTCCCCGGCAATGCCGCGCCCTGCCCCCCCTACCAGTGGACCCTGAGAGAACGGGTGTGGCCTTGGGCCTCTCCAAAGAGCTGTTTGCCTCTCTCCTCATATTTGGAGGCTGTGCACTGTGCTTCTTTCTCTCAAGGCCTGTGGCGCTGGGTTTGGCTGATTTACGAGCAGATGATTCGTGCTCACTTTCTTGCATTTTATGGAAACCCAGCAAACGTATTAGCAGCTTATGCATGTAAAATTAGCATCACTGGCATGTCTGGCCTCCGATCTGGCATCATCAGTAGGAGAATTTGGTGACTCAAATGCCCGTTCACCCTATTCCACTCTCTTATAGGCACGTAGGTCCTTTCCTGGGAAGTCACAGTCTGAACTTCCCGTATCCTAGAGAAAGTCCACTCCAAGACACCTCGGGGACAGCAGGACTGACTGGGGTCCTGCTCATTTTGCCCAGCATCAGGGGATACAGAAATAGAAGAGCTAACCTTTTAGCCTTTATTCACAGACTATTTCCCTCCCCTCAAAAGCCACCCTGGATCATGGCCATATTGTAAGCAGAATTTTGCAGGAAAAAAACAGCAGCAGCAGCAGGTAGACCAAGTAGTTGTTGGTCCAACAACAGGAAGTTGTTGGGCCTCAGGCGTACTACCTGTATAACTGTGATTAGCAGGAAGTGCCTTACAGGGCTGATGAAATAACCAACCAGGTCCTTGGAAAATATAAGATTATTAAAAGGATAAATTCATTTTATTTTTATTTTCTTTAGAACTCTTGGAAATTTATATGCCTTTATTGTCAAAATATCTTTTTTTTTTTTAAAACATCACGAAAAAATTCTCTTCCTATAAGATTGCTTCTCTCCAACTTGGCTCACGGAGAATGCACAGGTAAATTATTAGGTCTATTCTGAAAAGAAATTGGGTCAAAACTTGA